GTCTGGGTCAAAACCTCCTATTCTTATCTGCTGACGGACTAAAGGGACTCCTTTAAGACAAGACTGTTTCCATGTTTGGGTTCTGTAAGTAAGCATAAAATATTCCCAGCTCACACTACATTTGGCCAGGGGCTGACTGCAAAACGAAAATTTCTGTTTGGAGCCACACCTGGCAATGACCTCTGGCTCCTGCCCTATCCCTGCAAGCCTGCAGAATGACGTAGCAACTGTTTCTCTAGAGTGAGGGCAGTACTCCTAAGTGTTACTAGAGTCTAATGATAGAGTCACCATTAGCTCAGAATGCTAGTGTTATGTCAATAAAACATCAGGTGCTGGAAATACATTTGGAGACTATTCCCTATTCAGATTTTGTTTCTGGGGGAAATTTGCACCTAATTCTCTTTTGTCTAACAGCAAAAATTCCATACAAAATATTGATCATATTAATAATAGGTATTGTTAATAGATACAGTATTGGTCATGCTCTGTACTAAGCACTTCACTATATTAACTCATTTAACACCCTCAAATGCCCTTAAGGCAGGCACCACCACCACTACCTGTATTTCACAAGTGAGGCATCAGAAACATGAGGCAATTTGGTACCTTGAAGATATTCACATAGTGAATAAGGGGCCTGAGTTAAGAATCAAGCTTAAGAGTCTGTTCACATCCTAGACTTCTAATTTCTTTGAAATATGTACAGATAATCCTTTTTTAAAAAAATATTAAACAACCTAACATAATATTTTAGTATTTTAATAACTATTTTCCACCATTGCATCCCCTGTGTATCTTCCTCAGCAGGCTTATAACACAGTTCTCCCTGATCTGTGTTCTGTGTATAGTCACTCCACATCTGCATCAATAAAAAGGCTGAAAGGCAAATCTGAATTGCTTTGGTTCTCTTGGCTAGAAACGATGTTCATAGGCAGAGATTATAGTCAGTGTGCTTTAGAACTCCTCATGGTTCAGACTCTTCCCTTTGCTGTGAGATACCACAAGATGTCCCATCTGCAAAGTGAATGGCTGTTTATATATCCCAAAGACAGGCAGCTTAAAAATCAGATGCCCACCCTATGTGCTGTGACACAGGGTATGATGTAAACTCATTATGCTCAATCGCTGGTCCAGCCCTGAGAAAATTTAGGGTACCTATGAATGTTTTTATTTCCCTGTGTATTTTGTAGATTAGGGAGTACCCAAGAATTTTAACACTACTTAGGACAGTTTTCCCCAGGGTATTGAGTTTTCATCTGCATTCAGAAAATAACCATGCTCTCTGATGTTTTAACCACTTGGCTTCCACTACAACATTCAGTTGGTATATCTGGTAAGACCTGCCCATGAATAGCCTATGGTATATCAGCTTTAATTATACCAGGTTTTAAAATCCAATAATGGTTACCTTTAGGTTTGAGTGATAGCATTATTTTGTTTTTAATACATCAGGTGTTAGATATATATTTTATGGCTAGTCTCCATCCAAATTTTCCTGTGAAAAATTCCAGCAGTCTCTCCCTTTCTGGCTAGAGAGAAGTGAGTCTGTAAAACTGGAAGGGAGGGGTTGGAAAGATGGTTCAGTGGTTAAGAACACTGGCTGCTCTTGCAGAGGATTGGAGTTTGGTTCTCAGTACCCATGTGAGGAATGTAACACCATAGAACTCCTGTTTGAGGGTGTATTATGCCTCTCCTGGCTTTCGCAGGCACCCCCTGATACACACACACACACACACACACACACACACACACACACACACACACACACACACACAATTAAAAATAAATCTTTTAGAAAAAGGAATCTTTACAGAATGAACACAATTAAAATGCCACCAGTGACAGCTAATTGTGTGGCTGTGGATTGAGAAATCATCCCTTGGAATGATGAAAGTAATGTGCAAAACAAGAAATGGGTGAATTAGATCAATGGTTTCCTGTCTGTGGATGAGTAGCTCTGATGAGTCTAAGAAGTTTTTGAGTACATGTTACGAATCCACAGGTATTCAGTTCTAACTTGGCGACTGAACAAAGATGACTCTCTCCATCTACCTTGTTACCCACTTGTACTTTCCTGCCAGCTTGCCTTGGTTAAAATCTTAAGTCTTTAGTTGACAACTGAAAATGCTAACGTCCTTATGATGTAATTTCCACACTACTAACCACATAGCATTGCTAGAAGGTACAAAAGTGATAAAATGTGTTGCATATTTAGCCTTGCCCCTGATCATTAGAGAGAGCGCGTGTGCTGTTTATGAGATACATATACTGTGAGGAGACAGGTATACTGTCTTTTCAACACAGTTCATATCCAATATTATATGGACCTTGGTTTTACTGAATATACAGAGTAAGTCAGCACATTGGCCCTTCAATTTCCTGATTTTGGAAGAAGCAGTCAGCGAATAGGCTAAGTTCTGATGCTTCTCTTTCAGGCATGTTGCAAGACAATAAAATTCCTGTCAAAAGCTCCTCACTCTGAATCTAGCTTCAAGGACACCTCACAGAACAAAAATCCCATCATTTATGCACGGCCATTAGAGTTTTATGTCTCCAAGGCACAAACTGAAATACAGATTAAGTCTCCTGGGAATTTGCAACAGGTCTAAATCTGGGCAGGATGATGCTATTATGCATTATGTACATATGTATTTAGATTCAAAATCCACACAACCGCGCGTGCGTGTGTGTGTGTGTGTGTGTGTGTGTGTGTGTGTGTGTGTGTGTGTTATTGCACCATTTATCATCACAAAACTTTCAAGGCAGAAAGGTTTCTTACATTTATTTTTGGTGCCCTGAGCCTATTGATTCCTTCTTAGAATAATATTCTCAAATGCATGCTCACAAGAATAATAATCACAGAGGAAACAAATTAGTTTAAAATACAATTTTCATAAGATCCAAAACCTTCCTGTGCCTCAAAGCACATGTTCTTGGTCAAGACAAACTGAGTTCAAGAAATGAGAAGCTACTCATTCAGGCATGGATATAAACTATGGATGGCATTTTTTTCAAATATATGGTTAAGAATATATAGAATGAATATATAGAAAGAATATATAGAATGAAAACTGTATTGGGAAGGGTAATTGAAACTCTCATTAATTTGGTGCTTAAGTATGCCTTCTGAATTCTTACCTTTTTCTGTTGCTTAACAGTGATGTTCTGTTATTTGATATTTTAATCATGTTCTGACAGATAAAGCTTGCTTAGAGTCAGAGGGCAGAGCTATCTATCAGCTGAATAAAATTAACCACAGAGGTTTTGGAGGACTGTAGACAGGGCAGGAAGTAGTAAGGTGGGCAGAGAGGGACCTTGGCTGTTTTGGAGGGAGGATCAGAGCAGGTAGGAGAAGACAGGTGGTTTCTCTGCTTCTTTGATCCTTCAGGTTCTTACCCCAATATCTGACTCCTGAATTTTTATTGATAAAGAATAATTAGATTAATGTTTCAATGTCCTTTGGTAATGAGAGTATGGTATATTCTTTCTGGTGGTCATGTTGCAACTTGTTTATTTTTTTAAAGGGTTGATAGTCTAGGTTGTTCTTAAGCTTTAGTGAACTTCTTTGGTTGAACCTGCTGTTTTCTGCTGCTGCTGCATCTAAAGAACCTACTTCATCTCACTGTTGGACACTTAAGTGTAAGCTATAGATGGTGAAACAAATAAAAATGATCTCACTGACAAACCCATCCTCTTCAGACTAGGCAAGCACCTCTCAGGGAGCTCCCTCCTGCTCCCACGTAAGTAGGAGCTGTTTGGACAGTGTGTAGACTTCAGTGAAAGCCCTTGTAGAAGCCGTGTGAACCACAGTAAAGTGACAGCAATTCAGTCAGTTTTCCTGAAGGACCCCTATCCTAGAAAAGAGGATCCCACAAATTCCTCAACAAAGTCTCATCAATGTGTAAAGTATAATCCGTCTTTGTCTCTTCCAGGATTGAGGAATTCAAACATTACCCTTCCAGCACCTCAAAACAAGAGCCTTCTCCATTCTCCCCACCAAACTTGTGTGTTCTGTTCCTTCCTGCTCCTGCTCTTTTCTCATGACTTCAGAGAGGACTGGGATTGCTCAAAGGGCACTGCCATGAGATACCAGTTAATGATCTTATGCAGGCTTCCTGCTGCTCTAATCCAACTTCAATCAGCATTTCTATTAAAATTACTTAACAAATAAAACTAATAAAGTGGAGAATGTACATTTACTAAACACCTTTCACATACTAGATGATGTGAAATGAAGTTTACATATAAATGTAAAAATGAAAAAAAAAAAACCCAGTGGATTAGTCAGAGGGGCCATGACAAAAAGGGGACTGGAGTGCATTTAAAGGAGAAATGCTCATGTTGGACGATTATAAAAACTGAATATGGACTGAAGCTGGGAAGTCTTGAACATTCCTAGATCCCATAAGTGAGGGTTTGCATTTCCCTTCCTATGTCATGAGCCAGATCAGGACCCAGTGGAAGAAGAGCCTCTGAAACTTTCTCCAAAGGGCTGGTCAGATAGTGGATCAGAGTGAATCAGAAGGAGAGAGAGTGAATCACTGAGCAGAATAAGAAGGACAGGGTCAGTAACTGAGAGGAACCCCAGAGCATTTCACCTGGTGTTCTCCATGATCTAGAGTGTTCTTAAATAGAGCATCCATAGTGGCTAAGAGACTGATTTCAGGGTTACATTTTTTACATATTTAAACCCCAAATTATCCCTTTAATAGGTGGCGTGATAACACAGATTAGTTAACCTTTCTAAGACTTATTTAGCCACCAATAAAATATAGATTGTAATAAAATCTAATTAAATTTTGACAGTAATATTTAACTCATACGATTTTTTTTGGTGAACAGTATCAGTTATATTTAAACCAGTGCCTGGCACTTATCAAGGGATTCAGTAAATACTTATTTTATTCTGCAGTCCTCTATACCCCATGTTTCTAAGTTGTAAACCAAATACTTGTGCACTGAATAGTACCTCAAGGAAGCCTGTGGCTCTGCTTAGATCCATGGTGCTCACCCACCAGATTCTAGGTGTACAGCTGAAGGTACAATGAGAACAAACAGGTGACTATAAAATTGCCCAATTTGGCACAACCCTATTATTATCTCTGGAGAAAGCCAAGCCCAGGCATAGCTGATGAGTTAACCAGATATGATGCAGAAAACATTTCCTTCTCCTTTTTGGTTTCAAGCCTATTTCTGAAGCCATAGATAGAGCTCTCCGGCACAGTTAGCACCTGACGGCACAGAGGCGATGGCTCCTGCCAATGGAGGGTCTGCCCAGCTGAGGCTAACACTGCTGCTCATGTGAAAGTATGGATTCACATTACTCTCCACCCCAAAGGGACCAAAATGCATCCAGAGAGCATCAGGGTGGGGATGTTGATGGTTCTTTGGTGACTTTGCAGCACTTTTACAAACCATGGGGGCATTTCCTGACACTGTGTAGCAGAGAGGAACAGAGGAAACTGGCCTGAGCATCACCTCAGTGGGAAATCAGGCTAATAGCTTGCATCTTCTCAGTCCTCTGGTATCTACTAGAGTACAAGACAGATACCAACAGAGGACAGAGGATAGAACACACTTCCTTCTCCCCATTGATCATTAAAACTTAATGGATGTAGATTTCATTCCCACGCTGATCCTAGTACTCATGTGTCCTGGAAACTGGGGACAGATGCTAACTTGCCCTTTATTAATTCTGCAGCTCTGAGTGCCATGCTGGTTGTTCCTCCAGTGTGTCTGAGCATTGCTCTCCACTTGGGTGACTGTATCCCACCATATTTGTTTTCTTATGGCTGTGAATCTTCCTCACCCTGGACAGCCTGCTTCCTAGCCATCTGTACCTCATCTGGTCCTTCTTTTCCCTTGTTCAAAAGGTTTCTGTCTATCAGTTTCCCCTTTCAAGGCAGCTCTCCTTTTGTTGAAGCCAACAGCCATGGCTTACACGGACAGGCCTCAGCCTCTGTTCTAGGACTTTCACATGTACCCATCCAACGTTCACATCACTGTTTTTTTTTTTAAAGATTTATTTATTTATTTATTTATTTATTTATTTATTTATTTATTTATTTATTTATTTATTTATTTATTTATTTATTATGTATACAGCATGTATGACTGCAGGCCAGAAGAGGGCACCAGATCTCGTTACAGATGGTTGTGAGCCACCATGTGGTTGCTGGGAATTGAACTCAGGACCTCTGGAAGAGCAGTCAGTGCTCTTAACCTCTGAGCCATCTCTCCAGCCCCACATCACCATTTTGATTGGCAGTTTATGACTGAGAATCCTGCAACTCAGATTACATCACTCAGTGGAGGTTGCACAGCTGACAAAGACTGGATTCTATCTCAAGTCCCTGGCATCTGAATATCGTCCCTTCACTATGTCATCCTTTGTCATCACCATTTAGCCATTTCTTTAGTTTCAGTTTAAATTTTCACCATATCTCCTTGCTCCTGGAATCCATTCAAGACTGACACCCTTTTTGTGCTTCTCATGACCTTCTAAGATTTCAAATATTCCTTACACTATATATTCACAATAAAATAGTTATTACAATTTAGACCTTATAAAGCTTATATTTTACCAAGTCTGTTTTATATTTGTCTTTTCATTATTATAATTTGTTAACATACATTATATAATAAAATGTATCAATCCGTGCTGTAGTCTGAAATGATTGACAGTTGTTCCTGACATGTTTTAATGAAGCCAAGACTTTGACATTTATCCATTATTCCTACAGTCAGCCTTTTAATAATTATTTACTAAACATTATATACCATTATGATAAGCAATTATTGAGTGTGACAAATACTATCTCTATCTACAAAGAGATTACAATTTTCATTTCTAGATACTGAAATTGAAGAGAAAGAGTAGGTTAACTCATTACATTATAAGGTAATTGGCTTGTTTCCAAACCTCTTGTTTTTGTATGCGACCCTTGTGTTTAGCTTGGTTGCTTCCCTTGGCCACAACACTGTTTACTTCATCCTTTGTTGCTTTTCCTAGATATCAGGACAGAGTTTTGTTATCAGTTCTGCCAGGACAGATGGGCCATCGATTGACTGTTGACGTGTTTATGCTTTTGAGACTGGATAATTTCCAATGACTTAAAGTTTCTTTATCTTCACAATTTTACTTTCTTTAAGCTTTTCAGAAATCTGTTGTGTCCTTGAACCCACCATGGATTAGAATATTTACAGGAGAGAAAGTGACTCTTACATGCCATGGTAATAACCCCCTTCAAAACTCCTCTACTAAATGGATCCACAGTGGCTCCAACTCTAACGTGACAACTTCACATTTGGACATTTGTGAGTGCCACCATTCAGAACAGTGGAAAAATACATAAGTCCAAACCAAGGATGTTACAAGAGTGACCCTGTGCACCTAGAAGTGATGGAAGGTAAATTTAACAGATATGGGAATATATATCTCTTATTTGAGGAGTGAAGTTCCTGAAGATTGGAAGAGTGTAGGTTATTTTAAGACCAGGATCACTGGGGATTAGACGCAAGACATCTCAGTGTCTTCTTCTACATCACTGCTTACATTTCTTTCAGTAGTTTTAGTCTATTCTGTCATCAATATCATTCCTCTGCTCTGTTTCTTCTGTTTTACCTAGATATAAACACGCATTATGTGATCAAATGGCATGATGGGCATATGGACACTGAAAAAAGCTGTGTATGCATACTTGGATCATAAGGCTTGAGTAAAGATGGTTCTGAACAATCCATGTACCATGAAAGATACCTGTGTGCATTTCTCATTTCCTTTGCTGTTGCTAAAAACAATCCTAATGTTTATTTCATCTTTATTACTCTTTTAGTGTCAAAACTTAATACAACATATTTAAGTATCAATAAATGTTGAATAAACAAACTATCTTTTGAATGGATAAGTTGCACATTATATATTTTTCTTTTATGAAAAAGGTGTTTTAAAATCTCTAAACCAATTCTAAATACAAATTAAACAATAAAGAATAGTTATTTATTTCATTGTAAGTATATTTGAGAGGAGTCCTTTAAGGGCTTTTCTTAAATAAAATATACAAGTTAGCCATATTCTCATTCAAAATTCTCCATTTATGAATGTTTTACAATTCTTAGAAGTGGCACTAGCCATAGAATATGATTTTTATATCTTGTTGAGTCACTAGTGACAAATATTCATTGGGTATCTGCCTCCTTCTAAAAACTGCGTTAGGCACTAGAGACACAGAACCAGATGAAGCCCTGACAACTTGATACACAGATCTACATAGGGAAGAGGGAAGTAAGTAAAAATTAAACACATAGTTAAAGTTGAGAAGCCTCTGTGAGGAAGGAGAAAACAAAATAAATCCCCTAAGCTAAAATTCCACAGGATGTGTATGTCTGCCTGTTTTGGCTTAACTAGACCCAGGTACAACAGATTTGAAGGAAATTCTGCATTTCAGGCCTTCTGTATGTGTGCTCATCTGGGGCAGTGAGGAGGGAATTGGGCAGGGAGGAGGTGAGCAGGGAGGGAGGAGGAGAGCAGGCATGGAGGAGGGGAGCAGGGCATGGAGGAGGGGAGCAGGAATGGAGGAGGGGAGCAGGGCATGGAGGAGGGGAGCAGGAATGGAGGAGGGGAGCAGGCATGGAGGAGGGGAGCAGGCATGGAGGAGGGGAGTGGGCAGGAATGGCTTTGGAGAATTTGTAGCTCCAGACTGACCTTTCAGAGGGAGAAAGGATTCAATGGTGTAGAAGTTGGGTTAGACACATTGTGTCTTTGTTCTTTAGTTTATCTTATGAACCAGTAAATGGGTGGGTGATCATCCATGGGTGATCCCTTTTCATCTGTCTGTGGGTCTGTCCCTTTCTCCCTACAACTCTTCTTCAGTCTTACCATCCATTGTTAAATAAACAACCATAATGTAATGAATGCTCTTCAGAGTGGCTGATTCTTCAGACCTCTGCTGATGTGGTAATGGAAGGTGTGCGTGTGTGTGTGTGTGTGTGTGTGTGTGTGTGTGTGTGTGTGTGTGTGTGTTCCTTCCTCATTAGATGCCATGGCTGGAAGAACTGGGATATCTACATGGTGACCTACTACAAGGATGGCCTTGGTCTCACATACTATTATGATGGCCTCAACACGTTCATTCGAAATGATACATTTAATGACAGTGACACCTTTCACTGCTGGGGCAGACTTCATGGGCTGCACTTTGACTCTGAGAAAGTCAGAATTACTGTAATCAAGGGTGAGTTGATAAAGAAATGTATAGTCTTTAGTAGGGGAAAGGAAAGTGGACATATGAGCCAGTGTTTGAAATTAGTATAACCAGGACATCTGTGCTTGTCTGGAAAGGCTAATAGATTTGCAACAAGGAGACACAGGACATATCTCCACAGCAGAGTCCTTATTTGCCAAGTGTTAATGGTAATACCTGCTCACAAGGTGGAATTTGCTGAAGATTTAATGGGATAATTTTGTCAAATGACTTTATAAACTGTCAGGGCCTGTCCAGACATAAAAGATTACAATTAGCATTTTGATCTCAAATTTATCTAATGCTCCTAAGAAGAGTGTTTGTATCTATGAGATTGGAAGTGGTTTGGGGAGCTGAAGGAGGCAAGGATATAAAGAGCTTGGAGAGTCCATATTAGCTGAGGATGGTGGGGAAGGAAACCAACCCCTCAGTAAGCTGTATGTGCAGGTCCTGGAGGATGAGAGTGAGCCCGCTGAGGGCAGGCAGGTGGGCTGCCTCTATGGCTCATAAGACAAGCCACTCTTACCAAATGTCATGTAAGAGGGGAACTTTGAAATGCTTGCCTTTGAAGGAGGAGATTTTGTTTTATCTTGTCATACTCATAATTATCTATAAAAAAGCAAGAAGTCAAATCTCAGAATTAAGCTCTGATGGTGTTTATCTGCTAATTTGAGACTAAAATGCTGTTTAATTATCTCTGCTCCACTCTGTGTCCTTTCTTCATGCAAATAATCAGTGAACAGCATCATGTCTCCCATAGACTTCACTGGCTAGAGGAACCACTAGACAGGAGTTATTGGGGACCACTTATCCCTTCACAGTTTTCTAGAGAGCACAGACTGGGGAACCCAGAATCTCGGGTGTTTTCTCTCTGTTCCTGGATACCCTGTCAGGCTAACGGTGGAGAATCATGCTTGTGTCCCTCTTAAGGAAGAGGATCTCTGAGTCCCATCTTTCAGTTTCTAATCTGGATTATATACTTGTATCTGTGCTTCATTCTAGCTACACAAAAGCAAGCATGATTGGCTACAATTTATTATCCTACTGGTGGTGATTTTGTTTGCTGTGGACATGAACTCATTGGTCTCAACCCAGAAACAGCTCACATCAGTCTTGAAGATTCAAAAGACAGGAAAACACAACAAACCTTGAACCTTAACTCCCAACCTATGCACATAAAGGAACTGATGCCATTGCTGGAGAGACAGTTCTTAACAGTCATTTCCCACCGAGTCCTCAATAGCTTCACCACTGTCAAAGGTCACTCACATTATCCACAGAAACCTCTGTGCCCCAGGATTTGCATAAATGCTTCGTTAAACCGACTGCAGCTGATTAAGTGACATGTAATAGCAAATGCTCAAGACCCACCGCTGTAATGAGTTGAAGAAGAATGAGTTGATTGCTTTCGTAGTGCTTGTGAAAGAGAAGCACAATTTGAATAAAGTAAGGGTGGAATCATGTAATGGAATTACTCTTAGGGATCCTGGCCCTTTTCATTTGTTTATTTTCTTCTAGGGCAGTGGTTCTCAACCTTCCCAATGCTGTGGCCCTTTGATACAGTTTCTCATGCTGTGGTGATCCCCAACTATAAACTTATTTTTGTTGCTACTCCCTAACTGCAATTTTGATACTGTTGTGAATGGTTAAGTAAATATTTGATATGTGTTATGTGAGCCCAAAGGGGTCCTGACACACAGGTTGAGAACAACCATTCTAGAAGAAAGACCCATGAGGGTATATATTTAAAATGTCTATTTTGTCATTATAAGCAGGAGGTAGCACTGAAGACATGACAGAAATTTGGTGAGGTGATAACATCTTGTGCTCTCCCATCCATTGCTGCGAGATTTTGATTCTTGACAAAAATTCCAAACCATGATGAAGAAGTTCTGACTGGGATCCCCATATCATCAATTCACTCCTCTTGGGTCTCCCAAATTTATAGAACTCGTATCATATCTCCATAGTGTGATTTGACCAAAGGCTTTTAAGAAATCCAGTAAATAGTAAACTCTGTTTATAGTCTAGAACCAAATAAGTTTTCAGGCAAAGGAAATAGAAAGTTTGGTTTGTATATTATCTATCATTTTATGTTACCAAAACATTCACTGAGGGCCTGGGTCTGCCTCACAGTATGAACAGGATAAAGTTTCTTCCCAGCAAAGATACCTATTATTCAGACTAAACCATATGGTGTAAGACCTGGATCCAAATCTTGATCCTTTTACTTTCTGGGTTTGTGATTTGGGGAAATCTATGTATATATCCATGAGTCAAGTGTTTCATTTCTAGAATTGGAATAAGGATAGGTACCGTGTTGAGCTCAGCTCCTGCTCCATGCTCATGCAGACAATGAGTTCAGGCTTAAGGAAAATTCTAAGGAACGGGGGCTAAGCTGTCAGTGCTGAACAGGAGGTTCCGACAAACAGCAGGTGAGAGCAGAGGCCCTCAAGTTGGCCCAGACTCTACACCTGCTGACACTGTGGGGAAAGGGATGAGAACAATTTGTAAACACTGACTAGACCTGGAATTCTTATTTAGCTAAGAAGTGTTTGAGGGGTAAACAGAGTAATTCAGCCTATTCTTTTTTGAAGACTGGTTTATGATGTGAACTTCCGTCTCCTACTCCTCATTTCTCCCTCATTTCATATGGTAAGGAATGACTACGTTCCTGCCACATGGGTTCGTGGAAATAGGTGTGGTGAATGCAGAAGAGATTTCTTCTGGAATGCAGGCAGGGGAAAGTCCCCACTGGAAACTCCTGGGTGATTTTCTGGGAAACTTTCTCTGCTTCCTGCCCAAGGCTTAACTCAGGATAAAGCCTTCAGACCACAGTGTTGCCAATATACACAATCAAGACACATTGTTCCACAGAATTCCCTACAATGTCAGTGTCTTTGGCATTGAGCTACACAGGAAGCCCCTCCTTTATCTCAGACTGGTTGTGATGCCAAATACTCAGTTAGGAACGGAGAGATGCTTGATGTGGGCAGAAGTTCCAGGCTTGATCAGCTTGAGAGACATCTGAGGGAATATCTAGGTTCCTGAATGTCACTGTTCTTTTGCTTCCCTCCATCCCCAGTCAAGCTTGGGAGGGCCATGGGCAGAGCAGAGGGATGGAAGTCCAAGCTGCTTCTCACTGAGTGATGGACTGGGTCAGGTGACTGGCAAATCTTTGAGATTCTGTTTTTCCTGTATGAGAAGGAATTTGACAAGGTGGTTTCTATAGTCTCCCTAGTCTCAGACACTGCCACTCACTTTGCATGTAGTGATCATCTAGGCTCAGAGGCTCAGAAGTCACTTCCCACCCAGTGCCAGGGTGGATTTCTGTTCACGCTCCATCACTGGGCACCCAGATCTGTCACTACCTCATGTACTGATTGTCATATATCAATTCCTGGTTTCTTTTAGACCCATGTCTACCATTTCTCTTTTGTTTCTTTATCTTTCATCATCATTTACATTTTAATCAGGAAGCTATATAGAAAACAAGGTTTTGCTTAAATGCTTAGTGATCTCTAAATTGAATAGTTTCTAAAAGTGTGTATTTTGTGTTGACATATAGGAAATATTTCTATCTGTGTTAAATATTAACTAGATTCTACAGACTAGTAGAGAAATTTACCCATTACTTAATCAGCCTCCTTTGGTCACCTATGACCTATAACTAATTGGTCCAGGCAAGACCATAAAATAACCCTAATGTCCCTAAAATAGATCATCACAAATCACCAAGAGTTCCTAATAGTCAGATGAGGGGAAAACAAGCCAGCATTTCCTAACTTGTGGCCTGTGAAAGCAAACTTCCAAGGTCACCCCCAGAATAGAGACTCAGATGAAACTTCTACCTAGAGAGACTGGGAACTGAGTCCTTGGAGGAAGGTTATCTTAGTTAGGGTTTCTGTTACTGTGGTAAAATACTATGCTCAAAATAAATCTGGGAAGCAAGGGTTTACCACCTCCTCATCATAGTCTGTTATTGAAGGAAGTCAGGAAAGGAAAGAACTCAAAGTGGACTATGGAGGCAAGAACTGATGCAGAGGCCGTGGAGGGGTACTGCTTACTGGCTTGCTCCTCACAGCTTTCTCAGCCTGCTTTCTCATAGCACCCAGGACTGCTTGTCCAGGGATGGCACCACCACAGTGAGCTGAGTCATCTCACATCAATTATCACTCAAGAAAATGCACCATTCATGTCCATAGGCCAAGCATTTGGGGGCGTTTTCTCAACTGAAGTTCCTTCTTCCAAAAGGACTCAAGCTTGTGCCAAGTTGGCATAAAAACAGCCAACACAAAGGGCTTGTATTCTCTTTAAACAGGAAAAGAACAGCATGGGAACATCTCTCTAAACCCAAATATGTAGTTTCCTGCTGTGGAGGGCAGAAGCACCCAAGACAGTCCAGGTCTGTGGATGACTGCAGAGAGTGACGTTGTCTTCCAGCCTTAGATCACCTGCCCAGATCCAGACAGTTAATTATGTCCCCATCTGGTGCTGCACCAATTGCCACAGTATTCCCACTTAAGCTATACTCTACGAATGCTCTCGGAATCACTGTCATGTTCACCTGCAAATACCGTTTGCTACACCCATGCTCTTTCATTTTCAAAAATGAAAAGGTGTAGGTGTACTGTCAGTCTTGTTGATGTTCAATACAGCACAGACAGTGGGCAAAAGTCCATCTGCAACGTTGTGGGGTCAGGGTGCAAAGAATTTGAAATTAGATAATTCAGACCGAAAAACCCAGAGATTAATTTTCAAAACCAATTTCAAGGAGATTGTGTTAAATTATTGTGGTAAAAATATTGTCATGGTAGATATAACTTAGCATTTGGAATAAAATATATTTTGAAGCTGAAAGAAAGGATCTCATCCACCTGTACTAGAATAAGTTAAGGCTAAAATTTTTATTTTCCACAAATGCCAACTGTTCTCTGTGTAAAACACACCCCAAACCAACCAACCAAAAAAAAAAAAAAAAAAAAACTTGACCTCAAAAGTCAAGCTTCATGTCTCTTTTCCTTTAAATTATTATTTTAAATAATGCATACTTACATATTTATCTATGTCCAGAATTTACCCTTTTTGTAATCAAGTTTTAAAGATACGTTCACTTTCATTTTCTACTTTTGAATTAACTTAAATTCTGCATTATTTTATGTCAGACTTTTACTTTGATGAATCCTGGTTCACAACTATTGTAACATCACAAAGGTTAATTTCGCCCACACTGGATGGAGTTGGTGATTTGAGAGACAGTGTGGCAGAGATAGTATTCGTTAATAAGCCAACATGCAGGAAGGTCACTGAATCACATCTTCCACTGACATACTCTCCCCTACCCCAAGGGAGAGTACTACATACTTTCTTTTTATTTCTTGGTTATTTTTTTTAAATTTTCATAAAATATTTGTGCCATTGTCTTTCCCCTCCCCCACCCTTCCCAGATCCTCCCCACTCTGTACCTGCTCAACCTCATGTTCTTTTTCTCTCTTAAAAGAAAACCAAATCCAAAACCAAACAACAAAAAAGCACAAACGCACTAACACCCCCCAAAATTGGGAGTTTGTTTGTCTTGGCCAATTACTTCTGAGTTTGGGGCGTAACCTGGAGTGTGGTTGCTATACCCAATGTAACTTCATTGAAGAAACTGATTTTCCATCTTTCAGCAGCTATCAATTGCAAATAGCTTCTTCATTAGGGGTGTGACTTTTTGCCTACTTTCCTTTTGTGATAGGATTTTGTCTGGCTTGAATTTGTGCAGGCTTGTGCATACTGTCATAGTTCCTGTGAGTGCATGTGTGCATCGGTCCTGTTGTGTCTGGAAAATGACATTTCCTTGGAGTCATCTACCATCTCTGGCTCCTACAATCTTCTGCCTCCTCTCCTATATAGATCCTTGACCCTTGAGGGAGGGATGTGGTAAGGACATCCCCTTTAGGACTGAGGGTCTCCCAAAGTCTCCCACTCTCTGCCTATTGTCTGGCTGTGAGTCTTTGTGCTAATTACCATCTATTGCAAGAAGCTTCTAAGATCAAAGTTGAGTGATGTACTATGGGTATAGCAATATGTCATCAGGAATCATTTTATTGCTATGTTCATTTAGTAGATGAGTAGTATTATACTTTCCCTTAGGATAAACTATACAGCCT